GTTTGTTTCGGATTTTATACTAAATTATATAATTCAATGTATGAGTACTTTATATAATGCCAAACAATATCAGTGTTGATAACAAACTTTGTTTTGAAGATCTTCGAGAATTGCCAAATAGTCATCCTCTGAGGGTTTGGTGTCGTATAGATGTTGGTGGAGAAGATTCTCGAGTGCCATAACTTTACGCTTAAGTACTCCGCGAACGGAGTTCTCGTCTCTTGAATAACCGGATATAGAATTACAGGCTTTCTTCCAAACATCGATCTCTCGCTTCAGCTCTAAATTTACAATTCATTCGTAAAAACATTAAAAATTTTATCTCAAATCAAAGCAATACCAAAGGAAAGCGTTAAACATTTACTAACAAAAGGTTTATTAGGTACTAACTGATTGAGACTACACTCAAACTAATCGCAAGATTAAACTAAAAAACACAATATTGTGTTCATTTAGTTATCAGAACAAAACGAGAGAAGAGAGAAGGAGACAGAATGCAAACTATACTATTAATAATAGTCTATTGCTTCTGAGACAAGTGTCAAATATATATTTAAAACCAATGGTAAATCATGTGTTTACCATTTGATGATTGGAAACATAGGTTCCCGGAATCGAGATTTTGCATTTGGGTCGAGTCGTATGTGAAGCCCTCGTTGTCCTGAGAGGAGGGCGAAGAGGAGGGGAACGCTCTCTCCTCTCTCCTTCTCTGTTCAATTTCAATGGAGTCTAAATTCTCGACTTCAACCTTCAGGTATTCCATTAAACGCTTTTTCCCTGACATTACAAATTCATTTATCAGTTATTCAATTCATTCGTATGTTTTATTGTCTGTTATGTATTGCATATATTCTGCTATCAATTCTCAATTAGTATATATACTGTACGGTAAGCTCTTTTGCATATAATATAAACTAATCGATTTTGGGTTTATGTTTGGCTAATTGTGTGGCATTTGAATTGCAATATATTGTCTATATTGTGGGGTAACACCTGAGCCCATACGTACCGACGAGTTCCGGCGGCTCCTGAAACTTGAGTGTTGAGAGGTCTCTGTATAGAAATCGTATCATAACCATCGACGCCAGGAAACAGATTATAATTCCCGGTAACATATGAAACGTGAAGCGCCCGAAGTCAATGCCCTTCATGTGTTTGACGCAAACGTTTCCAATAATACAAAACAAAAATTAAGTTTAGAGTCTTTTTGTTTATCTCTTTTCACTCTTGAGTTAAATAACAAAAAAAATATCATAAATATTGAGAAAGAGATGAATCACTAAATTCAAGGGAATCTTAAGTCTATATTTGCACTCAATATCTAACAAAAAGTTACTATTTATCCAAATTATCATTTTTGGTGCCAAAATAGCTGTGTTTATGATAGCAATAGTAATAATAATATTAATAATATATTTCTATTGGAATAAAACTTTCCAAAAGATAGACCCAAACTAATGACATGAGCTTATTGTTAGAATTAAAAACATTTTTAGTTTACTTCTACTTATAATTAGTTTATATTATGTCAAAAAACCACACATTTTGCTATAATAATAACTCTAACAATAGTTCTTTCCCTAAATTTATTTCCCGATTAATGTATTATTATTATACAAAAATAAGTCTATAATTAACTCTATAGTTATTTAAAGTTTTTAACAAAAATAAATGGCTTTTATGATAGAATTTCGGATATTAATGTAATTTAAACAACAAAACGATTGTTGCAAAAGAAATGATTGTCAGTTATAATCATGTAATTATAATTTATAACTATCGCTAACATTTTAAATTTATCAAAAAATTTAGTGTATCCTAATAGTGTATTCGTCGATGTATTGAAAAAGTTTACAATTTATAAAACAATCACAAAACTATTAAATCATATTAAACGGCCGCCACTTAATTAATCAGTCTTATCGACAGATAATTTAGTAAATGTTTTGGTATTTCAAACAAAATATTATTTGAAAATTAAAAGTAAAAATAATATAAGCAATTGATGGGCTCTCCAAATAAGGAGACATTATATTTGACAAAAAGTTTACACTTTACAAACATTGGACTAACACTTGATTCTAGTAGTGTTAACTAATAGTTATTAATTTCAAAGTTAAATCAGTTCTCATTGACACGAAATGAGATCAAAGTCTATAGATTAGGGACAAAATGACTATTAATTGCTACCAATTTCTTATAATAACATAAATTCTGCAACTATTCTAATATTTAATATAAATATAAATAACCAAATTTTATGACAAAAGATTAGCAAATAATATAGTAATTAGAAAAGAAATACGGAAATAATTTTGCAAAACATGTGATAAACACAAACAACTGATAAAATAATGTGAATTACCTGTTGCTGTATTTTAGCGCTCGATATAATGATGACATTCGGGGGGTCGCCCACAGGTGTGGCGGCGCCTCCGATGTTAGAGAATATAACCAGA